CTTGAAACCTCTTGCACTCAGCTGGAGAGTGGCTCTGTCTGGGGCAGAAGCTTTAGGCCACAGGGCAACTGGCTAAGTGAAGTGAGAGTCATGTGTGTAGGGCAGACCCAGGCCTAAATTCACTTTTAAAAACAGTAACACAGTATTGCAATGACCTTGCAGTGATTCTCTGTTGACATGATAATACTTGGGGTCTGCTGGGCTAGTAAAATCTATCCTTAAAATTTATTTCACCTGCTTCTTTTAACTTTTAAAATGTGGCTTCTTGAACATGTAAAATCATGTGTGTGGCTTGTGTTGTGTGTCTATCCTAACACGATGGAAGGGCAAACATGGCCGTGATGAAGCACATGGGGACTGGCAGTGACTTGTGTTTGCACACCTTCGAGTCACACCCGACCATGCTCGCTGGCTTACACACACACACACTCAGCAGCTGCGACTCCCTGGCAGAAGTGTCTGCTCTTTCTCATTTTTACACCACACGATCAAAAGGCCAATCTTCTTAGACTCCTTTCGACTGTATAGTACAATTGCCCAGGACTTCATATAAAATTTCAAATCTTATTTTATATTACCTAAATCAGCCACTAAATCAGTCTGACACTCACCAGCAATGACTCTGAGGCCTCCTGGTGCCCCTGACGCTATTTTCCGGCTGTGGGCCCATCCCGACCTGCCCTTGTGCATGCTTGCTCTCTGCACTTAACCATCTGCAGTGTGGGATGTTGTTCACTGCCCTTCCTCAGGGCGGGTCCTTCTCTGCCTTCCACACTCACAGTGCAGCTTTCCTTCCTTGAGAGCCTTCCTTGGTGGCCCTACCTGGCTCCCTTTCCAGTCTCCTGATGCCCTTTCCCATCTCCTTTAATACAGCATATTCTTAGCATCAAACTGCATCATTGAAATACTCGGTTAAAAATATGCTTTAGGCAGTTCATGTACTGTATGTGCATTCTGTCCCCCTCACTAACTTATACATTACTTTGCAACAGAGTATTACACTTCATTACCCTACTGCATTATGCTAATGCATCTAAATGATCAACTGTTTGTTTTACAAGTGAGGTATCATAAGCCCAGAGCTCTGCAGTGACTTAGCTAGGACCATCATTCACAGTAAGTTCCCGGCACTTCCGGGAGCAAGGACTTTTTACTTTTATAATTTATCCTGCCTTCTAACACCTTCAGAGATATGCCCTGTAAAAATCAGATAGTCTCGTATTTTTTTCTTTTCCCTTATTACCTTTCCCCTACCCTTCCCACTTTCCCTACACCTTTAGCCCTTTTCTTCCTATTTCACATGGTCAATTATCTCATTAGGATCTTGAGTACTGTTATAGTTTTTCACACCAGAGAAACTATTCGGTATTTACACATGTGTGACTTATGACAAAATGAAAAAATGGAAATAAAGTGTTTGTAAATGGGGAGGGGAGGAGGGGGTGAAGGGAGGACATGGAAAGGGAAAAAAATGAGAACCCAGACCTGTCATGTAAAGGTACAAGATCCCAATAATGAATGTAACTGTACTGTATACCTAGAATGTACCAATAAACTCAATAAAGAAAAAAAAATCAGATAGTCTCAAATGCAGCATGCATGGTGGCAGCAGACTGATAATGCCTCAAAGGGAGGACATCAGGAATTTAGGCTTGGCAGAGAGCACTAAATCTCATTCAGGGATCATCCCATGGGACACAGGCAAGTTAGCATGCAGCAAGGCTCCTGTTAGAGCAGTTGAGCTGCAGTGCAAGCAAGAAATTGGAAGCAGCTGAAGCCCAACTCTAACGCCTGAGCACCACCATGAGGTGGCAGGGAAAGAGGGAGAAGGGTGCTGCTCATAGAGAGCGCAAGCTACTGGATGTGGCCAGTACGGTTCATCTCCAGAGTCCGACCACCAGCCCGGTCACAGACCACGTCGTTTCTTTGCACTATCAGTCTTGAACCAGGTGGACGTGATCTAGGAAGAATGAGCTTAAAACTTGAAAGATTTCCATCACAATTGTGTAAAAGAACCAAGTAAGACAAGGTTCGTAATACTGAGTTCTGCACAAAGTTTTACTTGACAAATGCCATCAACTTGGATTTATTGCTTATGATGAGTAGACAGATGAGAGACACACAGAGATAGACAGACAGTAGAAGGACACTGCATTCTGCATACATCCCTATACATCCCTCATGGGACATATGACAACACAGCATTGGGAGGCGGCTCACCATTTAATGGTTAATTTTCTGCTAAAATGACATAGATTTGATTTCCAATCACTTTTCATCCAGGACAAAGTTCTTTAGCTATGACATAAACATCTTTGAAAATATCTATAATTATTAATTGTTCTGCCTCAGTTGAAAGTTTTGTTGGATATCATTCTGCAAAAGTCATTTAATTTCATAATTGCTTCATTGATGCAATCAAGACAGCTGCAGGTGTCTTTATCTGATTTAGAAATGAGGAGCTCAAGAGTCTTGCCTGACTGACTGACAGCTACCAAGTGGAAACTGAACCCCACAATGAACAAACTGCACTCTGCCTATGGGCCACACTTGCTGTAGTTTAGGGTTGGTGAACTAGGACTTCAATATATCTACATCACTCAGGCTCTGGATGAGATTTCACCAGCGTCGTACACTGGCAAATCCTAGCTCTGCAGTCAAAAGACACTGAATCAAATGGCTATTTGCATATATCGGTGGCTAACAGATTTGGAAGCAGAGTAGCAGAGCCAGCAGTGGGGTAGAAGGGCACAGGTTACTGTAGACCCGCACAGTGTAGGCAGGGTAATAAGGCTGATCTGGCCTGACTCATAGGTTGTCATGAGAAGTGACTTTCAAACGGGAGTCTTTGTTATTATTCAGGAGCCTCAGTAAGGTTTGCAGAACAGTTTCCAAGATAATAAAAGGTGCTAGTTGTGCTCACCGATGTGAGCATCCCATCTATCATCAAAGAAAGGCTCGGTCAATCTTCAGCAAGGAGAAGCACTGACACCTCAGTTATTTCTACCCCTTGGTGCAAGTGTATCATTTAACGATGTGGGCCGGAAGTGAAGGCTAAGAACATGTTTTAATGTATGTCTTCAAATGGCAAAAGAAGAGAGAGGAAAAAAGAACTAATTCAAATTGTAGGTGAGAAGAATTCTACTTCAGGAATCTGTTTTTAAGAAATCCATTCCTAAATAAACATTATTCAAGAGATTATTTGGCAACAAGGTAGTAGTTCTCAACCAGGAGTGACTTTGCCCCCTCCAGGGGTCATTTTCCAATGTCTCAAGACACCTTTTATTGTCAAAGCTGCCAAGGTAGAAGCCGGGATGCTGCAGAGAATGCTGGTGGCAGAGCGCAGTCCCCGCCTCCCCTGCCCAAGAACCCCGTGTTCCTGCTGAGAGGAGGGGACTTGGCACACCTGTGTGAGTTTCTCCACCAGCACACATACGTACATAAAACCCATATTCTAGATTCCGTGCCTTCGCCAAATAAAAGGAAGAAGTACCCTGAGAAAGCCAATACAAAAGTGATTCCTTCCAGTAGGTACGTGTTTTAGTAAAGCCTAGTACATTCTTAATAAAATGAAAAGTGACTCTGAATTTTGCACTAATCCGAGCGGGTTAAAAACACAGCATCTCTAGGCACCTCCTGATGACTGCCCGGCTGATGGCTGCACCTAAAGCAGAGGCACAGGGCCAGCACAGCAACATTGGAACAACCGTGAAGACTTCTACACAACCATCTGCTTCCTACAGGGACGGCTCCCAGAGCAAGCTCCTCGGCTTGGTCTTGAGAGGGTCCTTATGCGTCCCCTCTGGGGTCCCACCCTCCTGGCCCCACAGCCCCCTTCAGTATCTCCACACAGCATTTCTGAAACATTAAACAATCTCTTAACCACCTACACAAGGGTCTTAAACATTTCTGGCATGATTGAATGTCAAATATTTAATTGGCTTTTAAATTCAGTTAAACATAAGCATTTCTTCCAGAAGGACAGTGTCTTCGTTAAATAAATCTACTGCCAAATGAATAAGGATTCATGATTATTCCAGTACCACATTTCTCTTTATATAAAAACACTTGTATCTCTGAGAGGAAAGGAGGGTGTTTCAATTATTTAGAAATAAATTGAAGTCAGATATATAAAGAAACATAATTTAAACAGATTGTCCCTGTAGAATTCACAAGGAAGGAGCATAAACCTCACTGGCACAGCAAAGGGCTACCAATTTGTTCAAGAGATATGTTATCGACTCACAAGGTAAGAATTATACAACCTGGTTTAAAAATGCATTCCATAGGAATATTCTTTGTATTTGTGTACTGCCCCTCTGCTCATCAAATAATAGAATCATCATCTGAGGGCTGCCATTCAGGAATGTAATCACACAGGTCCCATGCTAGAGTGGCAGGGAGCACCATGCTGGCCACCGGACTGTCTTGCTGGATAAACAAGTTCCTCTAGAAACCTAGGCTCAGCCCAGAGCCCACCCAGCTCTAACAGGACCAAGTCCCCAGAACCCAAACCCAGAAAAGCTCTGCTCCGTTATGTGCTATAGTCACTACTGCAGCAAAATTCAGAAGTTCAAAAGACTTTTAGAATTTTTTACTTGTATTTTGTGAGTCATAGCCTATTATTCAAATATGCACAGCTTATAAAAGAGTACTATAGCTACACTTTAATTCCTGCCTTGCAGTTAATTTCACAAAGGGATTTTACCCTGGGTAGTTCTGCTCTTTTCCTAGTACCACTCCATGGGGTGGGGGAGTTTTGTTGTTTTGCTTTGCTTTGTTTTTAATTGAGAACTATCTCTTAACACAATTTCTCTCCGGTCGGGTAACTTTGATTACTTCATACATTTGTCAGTGTTGACATACACCCTCATCTGGAAACTGGATGTTCAAAGTGAAAAGGAAGCCTGTGGTTTCTGTGAGAAACTTTTCCTCACTGCCCAGTGTGTGTGTGTGTGTGTGTGTGTGTGTGTGTGTGTGTGTGTGTGTGTGTGCATCTGTGGGATATTGAGGCTAAGACTTTTAGAGAAGGTGGGCCAGGGAGGGGAGAGATCCTGAGACAGAGAAAAAAAAATGAGAAGTGCATGCAGAGAGAGAGAGAGAGAGAGAGAGAGAGAGAGAAGAGCACAAGAAGGGAGGGCTGCTTTATAGCTGCTAAGACTGCAGACAGAAATAGCAGGCAAACACTGTGAGCTGTATCCAACTCAGAAGCCAAGACCAAATTTTATTCACTTTCATTAATCAGATGATCAGAAAGAAGGAAATGAAATCCGGTCCTGTCCTCTTCTGCATCTTAATGATCGGAAAACATTGTAAGTATTCTCAGCATCTAATTTTGAATTCCTTAGCGCTGTAGAAATCATCACAAGTAGTGTATTGATACAGTGATGCTATCAGCATAAATGTTCATTACTTACACTTATGCTTTTAAGCTAAAATTCTGAGAAAATTGTCATCTCACTTCAGAATTATTTTCCTTGTGCATTTCTAGCATGTATTTGTAACAAATGCTTGGGTATCTTGTCATAATGTTTAATAAAGACTAACATGCCACGTAAACCTATGCTTTATAGGAGATTTGTAGAGATAGCATGAGCACTGTTATAATATTGAAAGAGTACCAGTCCTTAAAGATACGATGTCCAGGAACTATGTCCACTGAGACAGGTGGGGGGAATTCTTGATATTTGTTCCATTTCTGTGCAGTTGTACAGCTTTGCCAGCCTCTGGGGTTTGGTATCTCAGGTGTGCATGGACACACAGATGCACTCATGAGACTGCTTAGCAGGGATTCTCCCTGTCCTTTGAGAGGAAAAGGGAAGAAGCAAAAGCAATGAAAACCACAGCCAGATCAAAATGCACCTTTCACTTTTGCCTGGAATGACAAATCTTGCTTTAATGCAAAGGAAAGAACCGTGCATCAAGCCTCGTTTGAAATGCTGGATGTAGGTAGAAATAAAGTGTTTTTGTTTCTTAGGTAATAAACAATGAGAAAGCCAATATTAAGCAAAGAAATTTTCTGAGGACCTTTAATACCTTAGGATTCTGGGAATGTAAGCTTCACCAAATTTAGATCTCATAAGCAAGTTTATATTTATCTTTTAAAACTTGGCAAAAGTCTTGTTTACACTAACATATTCTATTGAGGAATAGCTCGTGATAACTTTCAACACTAAATCTCTTAATGCTGATAGCATGTACTCTACTAGAGTGACAAAGTGATTTTATTTCTTGTTTTTTTCTTTCTCTTTGCCTTCGGTACACCTCACCTTTTGGTCAAAGGTGGGAGACTGTATCAAAATCAGTGAAGCTTCGTCAAATTCCCCCAAAATATTCCAGTTTTAGCTTTCTCCCTCTTTAATTTTGGTTACTGATATTCCCATTTTCTTTAAAGGGAGGGGAAAAAGTCAAACTACAGCTCACCACCAAAAACTGAATGTTTCTAATTATAACCCAGTGTTTAAACTACCAGAGCTTTTGGCATTTATAACCAATGGTCTTGTAAATCAATTTCAATGAAATCATTTCAATGAAATTTTGAATAGACTGAAAAAGCCATAGGGAAGTTTTTTAAATGGGTTTTCTAGTATGAAGAACTTGGGGCCTAAAAAAGGTGTTCAGGGCAGGTTGAGAAGCAATTTTGGCTAAAGTGTTAGTAAAGTCATTTCAGGCTAGTAAAAAATTCTAGGTTGACATGAACTCTGAGAAATTACTTTCATGAGCAGAAGTAGAAAATGATGATGATGGTGCAAAAATCCTTGATCTTTCCTTATTAAAAGATTAATTTGATGAGGCAATGTAAGTACAAGTACTTGAGAGCTCTGAATTCTCACCCTCCCCTACCCTGCACAGGGAATAAAAGCCTAAGTAAGCACTTGCCCAGGTTGCCAAGCAAGATTGCAGGCTACATGGTGTTAACTGGGGGTTAGGGTGGGGGACCCCTAAATAACCAGAAACTCACAGCCTTGGCTCCCCTTCTGTGCAGTCCACACCAAGGTCTCGCCTAAATGAGGGCTTCCTGTGCACACAGCAAGGCACCTCTGCTACCATGCAGAAGGACAAATTCTGGGGCTTCCTCGGTCGTGGTCGACCGTCTGCTCTGCTTTGCTTCTGTGCACTCTCCTCCTCTCTGGCACAAGCGATGAGATGCACCCATGGCATCTGTGCTGGGGTGCTTCTCTCTGCTACCACCTACATCCCATGATTTTCAACAACCAACTTACCCCTTTGGAGCCTTAGTTTGTAAAATTCCAATCAAATTATTTACCCTCTCTACCTCCCGGAGGCCCTGTGTTTGGCTCTTTGTCACAAAAGTTGCCTCCTTGACCTTCCTGATGATTATGTAAACAGAAGAATGCTCACCAGGAATGAACCCACGGATGTCCTGTAGCTGTCACAGGTTCCAGCTGAGTCATGCTTTTGGTTCATGCTCTTTTCCCTGGACCCTGGTCCCTCGCAGTACAGATGGTGCCTACCATAGAGCCTTGAAACTTACAAAGCTATAAGTCCTTGTTAACCAAAAATACCTTCTGAGTGCATGCACTCAGTGTAGGAATAAAGGTAACAACACTGCACCCCTGCTCTGAGGGGACAGATGGAGAAGACAGCAAGTTAATCCAGGATTACCATTCAGTGAGCCAAATGAGAAGACGGGGGCGCTCACAGAAAGATGGGGCCTTAAGATTCAGAAATCCCTTCCTTTTAGTCTCAAACACTTTTTGATCTTTAAAAGGTCCTCTCCAGTCCAGATAACTGAATTGTACTAATGTCAGGCCTTCAGTTTTGATAATGTACTGCTCTGTGTGAGGTTTCTCCATCAGGGAAAGCTGGTATGTGGGAGCCCATGATAGTGTTTCTTCCAACTTCTCGTCATTTTATCTTGATTTCAAAATTAAAAGTTAAAAACAATCCCCAGAATGAGTTATATCATAAATCCTTACCAGCAAGTGTTTTACTTATTCCTTAAACAGTATCACTAAGCAAAATAATCAGTCTACTTAATACTTCAAGTAGACTGGAAGCAAGCAACAAAGTGAGAAAGAGTAAGACCCCAGGCATGAATTCGATCGTCTAGTGCTTTGCCAAGGATAGGCCCAGAGGATGAGGTCCTAGCAGATCCCAGGGATTCTGCTCAAAGCCCCTGGTCTTTGCCTTGAACCCCAGTGCTGGTGTAACTTCCAGATCTCTCTGCAGAAGCGGGAGGGAAGAGATGATCCCAGAGGAGGCCTCTGGGCTGATGAATATGTCGGAACAGACAATCCTGCCACATTTTCCCACTTCAGAAAGATGGGAGAATTAATTTACCAACATGCAGACCCCAGAAGTGTCTAGTATTCCAGCGTCTATGCTTGAAGGTTGCTAGAATTTTTTTTTCTTGCTATGAATTTGGAATTATGCTTTCAAGTAGAAAGAAACTTAGTAAGTCTATACAAATGAATCACCGTCTGCATAAAGGAAAACAGATTATCATGTGTAAGAACCAAAGAGGTTCACAAACTGAATTTCATACATCAGGATACACTTTTGTTGGAGTGAAGTGCCTGGAGTTCCTGGATTGCCTAGAGTTGACTAATTATTTCAAGCTATATGGTTATATGTGTTTGCTTTTATATTTGCCATTTATGGAGAACTTTCTGTGGGCCAGGAACCATACCGAGTGCTTTACAAACTGTGAGGTACCCCACCTTATAAAATAAGAAACAGAAAGTGAGACGCATTAAGTAGCATTCTTGATGTTACCTTGCAAAAGTGTTGCAAAAGAATACTTGAATCCAAGTCTGTTTCCTAGAAAAGACTATGCTAGTAAAACATGATTCACTCCAAAACATTCTAAAATTGGAATACCATAAAATTTAAAGGTAAAGATACCCAGAGCAAAGCCACTGACCTTCGGGCTAATTAGGTATTTCTCCATTTCAGAAATTAAGCAATAAAAAATACTGAAAAAATACCGAAATGATGAAAGTACCTTATGTGCATGTACCAACCTGTCAAGATGAAACCCATTAATCTGTGTAACCAACATGCACTAATAAAAGAAAATGCAGAGAATACCGCTGAGCCCAAGGCCTCAAAGCCTATAACTTCAGGTTGTCACAGGTTATCACCTGGGTAGCGGGATTCCCTCCCCACCTCCGAGAGCTGAACAATCCCAGAAAGCTCTGCCTCAGCCATCACCCCAATCAGAGCAAAAACCCACCCATGGAACCAAGAACCCACTCCTTCCTTCAAAATAAGCATGGGAAAGGGTGGGCCATTCTGATTTGGTTTTTGTTCTCCCTTGCTATAAGAATGAATGGTAAGTAGAAAAACAGGAGCATGTGAAGGGAGGGCTCCTATTATTTGTGTAAGAAATCCATATTTCAATCAAGTAACTATATTACAGTGATTCTGGATATCTGGTATTCAATTTATTTTATACTTATTTCTATATTCCCTGAATTAACTGGGGTTGCCTTATAGCTTTAATCTTCTATGCTAATAAACACGTCCTTTTGAAATAAAAATCAATGCCCTCAAAAGATGTCTGAGAGTTCGTCATGGGAGGAGCACCCTTGTGGCTCTGTCACCAGCTCTCCTCCGCCACACAGAGACCTCATGTCTGACAGCTGTATCTCGACTCCTCTCTCCACCTGTCTCCCACCATCCCCCTCGGCTCACCCAGGTCTCTCCCTGCAGCCCTCCAGGTCTACCTCTAATCAAGGTGTGAACCCAAACGTGAACCGTATGATGAAGTGCAGGGCAGAACAGCAGGTAAACTGAGTATTCCTGAGCAGTAGGGACCACACTTTTTCATAGAAAGAGATTTCTTTGCTTTGTGAGAGCACTGAGTGCGCAGTTGAGCTGGGAGATTGCCCAGTTATAAAGAACTGTTTCATTATTTAAAGTAGCTAGTGCTGCTGCTGTCTCCTAAGCATCTTTTCCATTTGTTCTGATCTAATTAACTTAGGAAAAAATATATAAAGTTTCCTTTTGTTTTTCTTCCTGATGTTTGAGCCCTGAGTGAATTGCTACCTAGTTAGGCAGTTTCCACTTATGTCTCTTAAATACTTTTTAAATTTCAGTAGCATAAAATCAGGCTTCTTTGAGTGGGAAGGAAATATAAAAATGGTAGAGGACAGTACCCTCATTTGTTACACAGGAAGGGAGAACCAGGGCTGTATAGCCAGCTCCCTTTTATCTCAAGTTCTATGACTGCTGATTTTTAAAGCTGGATCTCCAAATTGCAAGTGCAAAATGAAAAAGCAGGAAATCTCAGAAGGTTAAAACACTATTTTAAAGTAGAAAAACCCTTGACTGAGGCTGTAAAATG